GAGGGAAAGGGGAGGGGGCGGTGGGGAAGAGACAGAAATCTTTAATAAATAAATAAATAAATAAATAAATAAATAAATAAAATACCATCTCTTGACAGTCTTGGATGTTCTTCTGCACTTTGCTTTGAGTAAAATGTTTTTACATGAAAAAAATTATTTCTGTTTATGTGTATGTGTGTCAATGTACGCCATGTATCTTAGGGTTTCTATTTCTGTGAAGAGACACCATGACCACAGCAACTCTTATAAAGGGAAACATTTAATGAAGGCTGGCTTTCAGTTTCAGAGGTTTTGTCCATTTTCATCATGGCGAGAAGCATGGAGGCACATAGGCAGATGTGACGCTGGAGAAAGAACTGAGACTTCTGCATCTTGATCTGGAGACAGTAGAAGGAGACGGAGTCACTAGGCCTAACTTGAGCATATAAGACCTCAAATTATTGCCTCCACAGTGATACACCCCCTCCAACAAGGTCACACCTATTCTAACAAGGCCACAATAGTGCCACTTCCTGTAGGCCAAGCATTCAAACACATGGGTTTCTGGTGACCCATTCAAGCCACAGCACCATGTGTATATGTGTGGGTGCCCAAGGAGGCAGAAAAGGTCTGTAAAATCCTTGCAGCTAGAGTTACAGGCAATTCTAAAGGGCCATGTGGGTCTACAAACTCAATTCTCATCCTCTGTGACACCAGTAGTCACTCCTCTTACATGTTTTCCTTGAAATTTTATAGTTGACATTTCTTAGATTCAGTAATGAGTCCTTTGCTTGCACAAATTTAGATTTGTGATCTGTGTCTCCATGTTGTGGATGTGAAAACATAACCAACTTTTTGTAACACTGTTCAATAGCAATCAAGTTATACCTAAGCCATTGAAATATGATAAAAAAAATTTTTTACTGTATATGAACAGTCATGATCATTTAAAATTGTCTCACAAGGAAAAGAAGAAATACTACCATTTTAATCTATACAAGGTTAAAATATAAATATTGAAATAGTAACCTCAAATATCAAAATAAACAAAATGAGTTGTATATTAGGAATATGCACATGTGCGTATGTATGGAGTGCATACTAATAAGCAAATGCTTTATAAACATATCTGTTTGCATGTATATGGAACAAAATACATTAGTTATCTAGAAACTGTTCATTCCTTTACTAATAACATTTTATACCTCATATACAATGTGTATATTTAATAAGTATGATTTAAAATTTTCAAGAAGATACTTAATAAGTACAAATAATATGTGAACACAGTTAATATTAGCTACAGTGCTAGACGGCTCATTAAAATCTCACACATATTGCAGATTAGAAAGTTTCTTTTTATTGCAAAATATCTACATGGACTTTTCTCAACCATGGTTTATATTCCTCCAATGGAAACTTTAGCACCTCAGTCTCCTTTTTTGCATTGGCATTTTTGTTCTTACTAGCTGGCCTCCAAGATTGCCGGGAGGGTGATAGTAATAGCCCAAGTGGAGAAACCCACACATTGCACAGTCTTGTGTCTGTTAATTAACTACATCATACCCAGATAAGGCTGATGAACTCCCAATTTTAGTTAGACTGACTGTAAACAAGGCCCAGTAATACACTGTCTGCTCTCCCGTGCTGGTATTGCTGTTACTTGCCTCTGTTCCTCAGTTTTGCATGGAATCTGGAAATGAAACTCGGGTCCTTCAGCTGGTCTATGAGCACTCCGCAGATGGAGGTCTCTCCCCAGGCCTGTGGTGGCCTTTAAGAGAAGACAGGCTTGGTTTAGTTGAGTTCTTTAATTAGAGCTGATTGGAAAATATTTTGTACTTAGCCTGGTTTCAACTTTCTAGTCTTTGAACAGTCTGCTTTTGTTTTGCTTTAAAGTTAGTAAATGCAAAACAGTGAATCATGAATGGAGTGGAATCTTTCCCTAATTATTTTAGGGACTTTCTAGACAGCATGAGTTTCCTGTCATGGGTGCTGATGACTCAAAAAGATTTTTAGAAAGACAAATGCCTTCCTACTCACTTTACATTCCTGGTTCAAAACATTGGCTGCTTTCCTGAAAAACAGACCTTGCTGCTTGGGCCACAGAAGGACACTGTGATCAGCGCTGAGTTTGTGTGGTACAAAGTGCCACGGATTAGAATAGTCCTGAGAGAACGATGCTTGCTGGGAGGTGTGCTGTTGTCATGGCATTAAAGCTCACTGAGTTTACTTCAATTTTTAGTGGTGCCTGCAAAAAACAAACAAACAAAAAACAACAACAAAAATAAAAACACTTGTTTTCTGTCTTTGGATAGGAAAAAACTTACCATCATGGTACAGTTTACAACACTGCTTTTATCTGGGGCTGGGCCGTCAGTGGTTCTTTGTATTTTTATCAGTTTCTTTTCATAATGGTCTGTGTCTGTTGCAAAGAGAAGTTCCTTTAATGAGAAGTAAGAGCTACACTTACCTATGTATGTAAGGGTAAGTATTAAAGAGATGATATTGGTTTGGGAACTTAGGAGTAGAAGATTCTCCTCTAGGTTCCATGGTTTTTTCAGTCACAGTTGGCTAAGTCTACAATACTAACATGAATTATGTCCTATAAAGCAGGAAAATGGAAGTGCCGCTGTGGAGGATATCTTGACATTCTGGTCATTGTTGTGGTTCATAGGCATTACTGCTGGGTAGGTCTCATTAATTACCTTTCTTCCTGAACAACTTGCATGATGACGTCTGGAACTCAGTGAGGAGTCTTCCTGGTCAAATCCAGGTTGATTTCTCCAACTGCTATGTCTGAAGTGTGTGTGAAGCGCCTTCAGCAACACAGCCTTAACTGCAAATTGAATGAGATGATTTAATGTCTAGTTTGTCTCATACCTTTTTAATACTTCTTTATGTGGTTTACCTAATTTATTGATTTTGCCCTCCAGTAAAATAACAGATAATTACAAAAATGTGGATAATTGTTTCTTTGTTAACTGTTAAAGACATATGTGCTTTCATGCACGTATGTCACTTTCTATCTTCTCTCTTTATTCCTTCTTTCCCCTTTAACTAGTGAGTAAACCTAAGCTTTTGCTAAAAGAAAATTAAATTAATTTGCTTAAAACTTATTTCTTTTTCCTTAGGAGCTTCCAGATAATGTACCATATTTGTACAAACAAATATTTTCTTTCTCCCTGTATGATGGTTAACACAATCTAGAATCACTAGAAAATATGGTCTCAAGTATAAGTTATCTAAATTACATTGACTTGTAGGTTTGTCTACAAGAGTGTGAATCTAGGTTTACAGGCTACCCCATTCAGTGTGGGTAGCACCAAACACTTGGCAGGACATCGTTGGTTGTATACAAGTGGGAAAAGTGAGCTGAACCTCAGATGACATGCATTAATTCATTGCTCTCTACTAAGGATTATGGATTCAGTGTTGCTAACTCCTTCAAGCTAGCTTGCTACCTTGATTTCTTCAAAATTATGGACTATGGCCTCTATTTCTTCTCCTTCTTCATTAAGGTGCTTGTGTGAGGGTATTTAATGACAGCAGCATGAAAGAAACTAAGATAGCCTTGTTATTAGGAGTATCTTTTAAATTACACCTAATACAGTAACACACTGAGATAGTAGAAGAGTGACATTTGTTTACCTTTCCAAGAGATGAAACTTGTGATGTAAACATTCAGCTATTTTTGGTAGCTTCATGATTAGCTCCCAGTTCTTAAAAACTGCCAGTCTATCAAAAATTAGTATTTCCTTTCCCATTCTATTCTTTTTCTAATTTGAAAAGTGTAACAACATAGATCACAAATATTCACAGAACTATATAATATGATAAGAATGAATTACAACTAAATGAAAATAACAAATATTTTCTCTGGTGAAAAGTGCACAGACTAAGCTGAGGTATTTGCAATGGTCATTATTGCTTGCTTGGAGTGTACATTGTTCCCAGGTATTGGACTCTTCTAGATCCTTGATCTTCTTGGCGAGTAGCATGTTGTTGTGTTCATTATGTCCTCATGACAGAAAACACTTCTGCACATCAGAAAAGCAACTCCTGTGACAAGTATGCCTTTCTTTTGATGGTTCTTCCTTATGGCTGGGACTGAAAAGAATGTAATGTGACACATTTCCTAGTAAAACTACCAGTAGCTGACATGATTTTAACGTTATTAGATTTGTGGGTGTGCTACATTTTATCTAATGTTCATGCTGAAATGTCCTTGTGTTTATATAACTTACTGTGTCTAATTAATCAAAAGAGAGCTGAATATAGTAGCTCTTAATAATGTATTGACCACTTTTATACTGTTGGTCCTACCTATACTGATCATCAAACTACATGTTGAGTTGAAGCTTTGTATACTTTGGTGCTGTCAATGCATCATGACGTTGACTAATGGTTTTGCCTACTCCACAATGTAGAGTAACCATCATGACTGTGCCATTTGATAAAACTTTTCTTTGGACTGGCTTCCTTAATAACTGAATTTAGCATGATAAAAGTAAATTGAAACAAACAACAAAACTCTCCCTCTTAGGAAGCTGATACATTCCTTGTTCAATACCAAAAAGAAATAGCAACAGTTATTGAAATATTATAGAACACCTGTATTTATTCCTCCGATTTAGATTTCTCTCTGGTGCAGAAAAAGGTTCTAGTGTCCATAAGGATTAACAAGTTTGTTTGAAAGACATTAAAAGCTTTAATAACAAAGTAGTTCTCTATATACAATGGTAAGATTAAATTGGCATTTGAGATATATTTTCAAATTACAGTATTTAGAAAGAAGTTAGGGCTGGAACTGTGACTTAGCAGTTTTGGGCACTTGTTCTTGCAGAAATTCTATGCTCCTCTCCTAGCACAAAGATTGGGCAGCTCACAACTGCCTGTAACCATAGCTTTAGATAAGCCAACACTTTTTCCTGGCCTTAATAGATAGTTATAAATTATGAACAAACAGCCCATCTCTAGAAAGTCTTACAGAATGTTTTTATAGCTTTTCTTTTGTGTTCTAGGTGACAACACTTGTCAACACAAGCAACAAAGGGCCATCGGGTAAAAAGAAAGGGAGGTCAAAGAAAGCCCATGTTTTGGCAGCATCTGTGGAACAAGCTACCCAGAACTTCCTGGAAAAGGGGGAACAAATTGCTAAGGAGAGTCAAGACCTCAAAGAAGAGTTGGTGGCTGCTGTAGAGGATGTGCGGAAGCAAGGTAGGTGGAATAATATTGTATGGTTGCTGAGGCTTGTTGTGTGAATAGGACATTGTTGTTTAGAATCAGAGGAATATTTCACTTTGTTTGCTCTCTGCACATGGTGTTTGCAATGTTTGCGGGATTAGTCGCATAAATATTTTGATGTTGAAGTTTGGGCATGACTCCAAATACCATGCTTCTGCTTTTATTTAGAAATCTTCCTATTTCTTGCCCTTGGTAGATGGAAACAAAATCTCAGTCAAACTCACACCTTGGTATGGATTTAGAAGACACTGCCTATATAAAATGACTGAATATTCTGAATTTAAGGAGGATAGGAGAGAAAAATGCAAAAGCATGTAGAATTATATTTTTAGTCCATGACTTTTCTCACACATCTAGATAGTTAGCATACAGTTTATTTAACATTTTGAAAATTTTTTATTTGTAATCCAATACATGTAACATAAAAATAACATCTAAACTGATTTTAGCGTTCATTTATAGTTTAGTGTTGGTAGGTCTATGCACAATCTTGAGAAACTTATTGCTCGTTTTTTTTCACTTTAGAAAAGTGAAGCTGTATACATTTATTCCGTTATCCATATGCTCTCCACAAAAGTCTCCATGAATCACTCTTCATCTGTTTGACAACTCTTGATATTTCACAGAGATGAGATCCTGCAGAATGTCATTTTCTGGCTGGCTTATTTCATTAAGTACAGTGTCTTCAATAACCATACACACTGTGGAAGATACCACAATTTTAGTTTTTCATAACTAAATAATAGTCCATTCAATATATGTCCACAGACTTTTGATTGGGCTTCACTATTTTGCTCTTGTGAACAAAATTACTACTTAAATAAATAAACATGTATATTATGGTTAACTTTAATTATCAATTTGGCGCCACTTAAAATCACCCAGACAAAGGGACTCAAGAGTATGCATACAGTTGATGCTTTGTAGGGGATTGTCTCAACTAAATTTATGGATGTGGAAAGACGAAGCTATCTGGAGGCAGCGCCGTTCCCCAGGCAAGGTGTCCTGAACCGTTTGGACATAGAAGTGACATTCTTTCTGACCACACTCTCAGTCAATGAAAGCATATATCAAACTATCTGTTGGATACTGATTTATATGTCTAAGGGAATGCTTCATTAAATACTTGTTGAATGGATGAGTCATCTATTTACACTCTTTGTGCATTCTTACTGTCTTTTGCCAGTCATAGATGAATGTTTAGTGTCTTAAATGAAAAGCCTTCCTTCTTTTTATGTAAACATTTTCTCCATTTCTTGTTTATGTGATATACAGATTTGTGTGCATATTTTTTGCAAGTTTGCAGACACACATGTGCTTCATATCTATTTTACTGGAGCACAGTTTTGATGTGGGGAATCAACCTTTTGATTTTCCACTTTACTCAATGAGACAGGATTTCTCAATCAAACTTGGGGTGTGGGGATATAGCCAATCTCTCTTACCAACTTTCTCTGTGTAACCCTTGTCTCCAGTTTCTAAGGCTACAATTATAGGAAGAATACCACAGTCACCCAAAATTTACATGGATTTCTGGCAATCAGAACTCCAGTACTCACGGTTTTGTGGTAAGAGCTTTATCCGCTGAGCTGTCTTCCCAGATGCTGACTGTGCTTTATACCACTGTTCTATTGGATTCCTCCTAAAAGTTAACTTCATTTATATGACACTAATCCAAATTGCTACTTCCCCTGGACATATTGAATGTTTCACATTCCACCTTATGTGAACAAAGCACGAATGTATACGTGTCCCGAAATTATGAATGCCTCCAGGTTTTGAAATGCACTTGAAAGTTAAAAGTTTTCTGAATTATGGTTAGACACTTGCTTGTCGTCATGCATCTGTGCCCTAGATAATTACCTTTTGCTGCTGTTTTCTTATGTATACTAATGTGCACATGTAAAATAAGTAAGGTATGCTCAGGCTGACAACTGTTTGCACCTGTGAAGCCCTGCATGTTCTCAAGATACTGAATAAATTTACAGTGGAGAGTTTAGGTCTCTCTACCTCTTTAAGCATCTGTCTTTGCTAATAAATTTTTCTGCTTGGTTTCAGTAGCAACCCCTCAGGTTTTCTTTCTTTCTTTTTTTCTTTTTCTTTTTCTGAGTTGCAGTCTTTGGAGCTTGATGTTTGGTTGTCATGAACTTATATGAAGGTTATATGAAATGGTCTATTGTAGATCCAATATAATAATCAATTGGCTGGATTTCCCTTGTGGTGTGATAAAACAAGATTTTAATTTAGGACAGCTTACAGTGGTTGCTGTTCTAAGAATAGTTGAAGATTACTCTGTGTTATCCATCTCCTGTTACAGATGCTTAGAAGTAACCTGTATGAAACTGTGTGGTCATGTTTTCTTCCCCCGAAAAATTTAACATTCAAATGCCCCTTACTGTAACTAGTAAAAGTCAAATTACTAAAAATCTTTATCAAATCTCCTCCTTTAGTATCCTTGATTTTCGATACCTTCCTTACACTCTAGATGCTTCGCAACTGTCAGAGTCGGACAATTTCCAGGCAATGGAGTTCATAAGCTCTGATTCTGCTACTATACCTGCAGATTATAAATTCTCCTTTCTGACATTTTCCAGTGACAACTCAGCTTTCTTCACTGTGCCATCTCTGTAGCCCATCTGGCTTCAGCCGGTTTTCATAATGCCTCTTTACTTAGGCTTTTGGGAGCAGTGTAAAGCCTGCGCTGATTGTCAGAGTGATCAGAAGAAAGAAACTCATGAGAAAAAGGTGTGAATGAGGGCAGGAAAATTATTTATTTGACCTTTAAAGTACAGTATCATGCATTCCATCAAAGAAATTTATGTCTTTATTAACATGGAACATAAAAATCATGTAATCATTTGCATTTGGGGTAATAGTTTCTTTTAAAGTGTTTTTTTCAGTATACATGGCTTATTTATTTAATAATATATGTGAAACAAATTTATCAGCTTTATTATTGCATAGAAAAATTCTCCTTCCTGTATCCTGCCTGCCTTTCCCCCTTCTCTTGCCTTTTCCTTCTCTCTCATGCTATTCCTTCCACTTCTTCCTCTTCTCCCTCTTTCCTTTCTTCTCCCCCATCCTTTTTCCTCACTTTCTGTTTCAGTCCCTCTAGTGTTGAAATTGTTTCAAGATTTTGCCCAAACTAAGCAAATGATTTACCTCTGACCTTCAGTCCTCAGCCTTGTTCACACATGTTCAAATAAAATATTTAAAACATCACCACTTTTTTCCAGCATAAAGAGAAACTAGGAGGTTTGCATGTTCATTTTTAGATTTATTGTATAGAGTCATTTAATTTTGTTTATTTATAGCTTATGGATGTTTGTGGTTTCAATTATCTGTTCTATTAAGGTCATATATAAAATTGCACATTTAAAATTCGTTTACTACATGTTAGCATTGTTAAATTTAGTGTTGTTTAAATTTATTTATTATTACCTGAAAACTTACTATCTTTTTAAATCTAGGTTGCATACCTGATGTTGAAAAGTGCTCAGAATGCATGGTAACTATCATTTTGCCCTAGAGTTTTCTGCAGAAAATTTGTAATTTCAAATTACCATCTGTAGAGGATTCCTTGTAAAGGGCTATGATAATGTATACATGAGGAACACATATCAAATATACATTTTCAAAATTTATATATTTTTTTATATTTTTTCAAAATTTATATTCCTATATTCAAAACCTAGAATTCTGCTGACCTATACCTAAATAAGATAAGATGTCCAAGTGTTTATAATTGCAAGGCTAGGTTTTAAATTCATCATCATAGGGACTATACTGTCTAGCCAGGTGCTTAATTCTTTAATACATAGTGAGTGTTGGTGAGGGCAGAGGCTGTCTTGGCTAACTTTTAAATGCTGGAACAGAATGCCATGACCAAGGCAACTTATAAAAGAACATGTTTATTTTGGGGCTCATGGTTTCAAATGGTTAGTCCATGCCTGTTATTGGTGGGGATCATGGGGGCAGGCAGGTAGGCATGGTGCTAGACAAGTAGCTGAAAACTCACGTCTCCATCTACAAGCACAAAGCCATGAGAGATGCTGGGTTTGGCACCAGCGTTTGAAACTACAAAGCCCATCCCCAGTGATAACAACATCTCCAGAAAGGTCACACCTTCTGATCATTATCAAGCCGGTCCACAAGCTGGTCCATTCAAATATATGAGCCTACAGGAGCCATTCTCATTCAAACCTACAAAGACGTTTTCAAAAAAAAAAAAAAGAAAGAAAGAAAGAAAAAATGAGTAGGTATTTAGAATCTTGGTTAAGATTTCAAATTCTAACATTACTTGGACAAAATAGCTAAATAAGATAGATTAAATCATTCAAGTATGTTCAGAGTCAGTGTCTCCAGTTTTGAAATATAGAGAATGACTGTGTTTACCCTGAGTGGGTGATTTCACTAAAAGGGGTCAAAGGTGTTTTAAAAACTTAAGTGTCTGTCAGGTGAGATGGCTCAGCAGGTAAAACAGGCCTGGGACACACATGGTAGAAGGAGCTCCACAAGTGCACCTTGGTACCCTGGTGCATGCATGCATGCACACAGAGGCACACACACAAACACGTACACACACACCTACATGTACACACATAAGGTAGAAAAGAAAGGAAAGAAAAAGAAGGAAGAAAAGAAAGAAAAAGCATAAATTCCACAATAGATTTATAAGTTATAATTTCTTGATTTTAACTGTATCTTTGCAAATTGCTGTTCTACCTGATTTTCCTTTTCTTCTTCTTGGTGAGTCAATGAGTAAAGTTGTATTCGGTTACAAGAGAATGATTGAGGGGCTATTTACAGAGGCATAGGCAACTTACCAATGGCCACACCCCTGAATAAAATGACTTTCCCTCTTCCAGTAACCATGAGGCAGTAGACCTCATCTCCTTCCTATTAATTAATAAACCTGAGTCCTTTCTGTCAGCCTGGTGAAGCAACAAATTAGCATCCTGTGGTCTTTCTGA